ATCAAGAACATCATCCAGGAAGAAACCAAAAGGTCTTTAAAAAGACAGGAAAGGAACAAAAGACCAAAATGGATGTCAGAAGAGACTGAAACTTGCCCTTGAACGGAGAGTCGTTAAAGCAAATGGAAAAAAATGACAAGATAAAAAAGCTAAACAGAACATTTCAAAGAGCAGCTCGAGAAGACAAAGTCAATTATTATAATGAAATATCCAAAGACTGGAGTTAGAAAACCAAAAGGAAAGAACATGCTCAGCATTTCTCAAGCTGAAAGAACTAAAGAAAAAAATCAAGCTTCGAGTTGCAATATTGAAAGTTTCCACAGACAAAATATTGAATGATGCAGGAAACATCAAAAGAAGATGGAAGGGACACACAGAGTCACTGTACCAAAAAGAACTGGTCAATCTTAATCCATTTCAGAAGATGGCATAAGATCAAGAATCAATGGTACTGAAGGAAGAAGTCGAAGCTGCAGTGAAGGAACTGGCTAAGAATAAGGCTCCAGGAACTGACAGAATATCCACTGAGATGTTTCAACAAACAGATGCTGCACTGGAGGCACTCACTCATCTGTGCCAAGAAATCTGGAAGACAGCTACCTGGCCAACTGACTGGAAGAGATCCATATTTAAACCCATTGCAAAGAAAGGTGATCCCACAGAATGTGGGAATTATGGAACAATATCATTAATATCACATGCAAGTAAAATCTTGAAGATAATTCAACAATGGATGCAGCAGTATATTGACAGAGAAATTCCAAAATTACAAGCTGGATTCAGAAGAGGATGTCAGATGGATCTTGGCTCAAAGCAAAGAATACCAGAAAGATGTTTATTTATGTTTTATTGACTATGCAAAAGCACTTGATTGTGTGGATCACAACAAATTATGGATAACATTGAGAAGAATGGGAATTCCAGAACACTTAATTGTACTCATCAGGAACCTGTACACAGATCAGGAGGCTGTCGTTCGAACAGAACAAGGAGATACTACATGGTTTAAAATCAGGAAGGTAGTATATCAGGGTTGTATCCTTTCACCATACTTATTCAATCTGTATGCTGAGCAAATAATCCAAGAAGTTGGACTATATGAAGAAGAACGCCGCATCAGGATTGGGGGAAGACTCATTAACGACTTGCAATACGCAGATGACACAACTTTGGTTGCTGAAAGTAAGAATGACTTGAAGCACTTACTGGTGAAGATTAAAGACTATGGTCTGCAGTATGGATTACATTTCAACATAAAGAAAATAAAAATCCTCACAACTGAATCAATAAGCAGCATCACAATAAAAGGAGAAAAGACTGAAGTTGTCACAGATTTCATATTACTTGGTTCCACAATCAACAACAAGGGAAGCAGCAGTCAAGACATCAGATGGTGTATTTCACTTGGCAAATATGATTCAAGGGACTTCTTTAAAGTGCTGAAGAGCAAAGTTATCTCTTTGAAGACTAAGGTGAGCCTAACCGAAGCCATGGTATTTTCAATCACCTCATATACATGT